GTAACAGAACAGGCTTTAGCACAGATGCAAAAATTTGGCACAGAACCTGTTATTTTAAAAATTTTTCTTCTGTTAAAGTTTGATTTCTTTCAGTTTTTCATAAAAAAAATTGAAAAAAACTGGAATGATATACTTATTAATTTGCCAGAAACTATAGGTCCTATCGGAAAGTGATGTATATATGCTTTATGGAAAATTTTATTAACATACATCTGCCGTATTTCATGTTAAGATTGTTTAATTGGTTCGTAAGATATACGTGATTAAGTGGAACCACTTTTTGTTTTAAGCTGAATAACGGTAAATTGAAACTATCTCGAAAACGAATCCATAGTAAAAATACTCAATTTTCGGAATCACCGAGCAATTCTACATAGAAATTGGATAGTGGAGTCCGCAAAAATCAAACTAAAATTTGTGATCCCGTGTAATTACTAATTTATCGCAGTTTCGTGTTTCTGTAAATTACCGTTATATGGGAGGTGGGCATGGTTATTGCCCGATTTAAAAGATTTTCAACAGATTTCTTCGTTGAACACTAAGACTCGGACCGAGTTTGGTAGGGATTGGTGAATCGGCTACTGAGACACAGCATTTCATCATGAGTGGGCGGGGTCACGCCCATTTTCCAAAAATTTCATTATAAAAGTATTTCTTGCCATAATTTCACTTCACATACTAATTTGCAACAATAAAATGTCGTATTTTTTGCATTTTTCGAAAATACAGTTGTATGGGAAGTGGGCGTGGTTACAGTCCGATTTCGCCCATTTTCAATGCCAAATTTCGTTGAGATATCTAAATTTTTGCACACGGACGGACGGACGGATAGACAGACATGGCTTAATCGACTTCTCTTTTCATTCTGATCATTTATGCATACATTTTTCTATATCTATCTCGATTCGTTACAAACCACCGTTATGCGAACAAAATTATAATATCCTTGTGCACATGTGCGCACGGGTATAAAAGCAGCTCTTTCACTACAGCAGCGGCGTCCAAAGCCTATGCACGCGTGCATAAGATTCTCCGAGCTTTCTCACCGACAGCCTCACACTAGGGATGTTCAAATAAGATCGGTGTTTCCAAAAACTGTTTTTTTTAATTTGGTTAATGATCTTTTACAGTCTTTGTTTTAGTTTAGGTGTTAATCGGTTTTTTGCTTTTAAACCGAAAACCGAAAATTCGGTTTTTAGATTCCCTAGCAATGGAAATAATTATCCATCGAGATAAGAATCAAATTTTACGGCGTACCACAAACTTCAAATTAACTACTAAATTTTCGTTTGCTGATCTAGTAGCTAAACATAATCGATTGTGAATATTGAAATTTCGAACAAAGCGTGAAACTTGGATTCATAAGTCCTTTGTTAAAAGATAACTCATATTTTAATAAAAAATTAACAAAAAATATTTACCATGAAAAACATTGGAAATACATATTTTAAAAAACAATCACTGTATACTCAATTTTGAAGTTAATAATATATTCTTCTTCTTTTTTTGGCGCTGTAACCGCCTAAGCGATTTTGGCCGAGTTCAGCAAAGCACGCCAGTCGTTTCTCCTCTGTGCGACTGACGCCAATTGGAAATGCCAAGTGAAGCCAAGTCCTTCTCCACCTGATCTTTCCATCGCAGTGGGGGCCTCCCTCTTCCTCTGCTACCACCTGCGTGTTCCGAGTTGAATACTTTCAGAGCTGGAGCGTCGGTGTCCATTCGAACGACATGGCCAAGCCAGCGTAGCCGCTGTATCTTAATTCGTTGCACTATGTCCGTGTCGTTGTAAAGCTCATACAGCTCATCGTTCCATCGTCTGCGGTACTCGCCGTCGCCAACGCGTAAAGGCCTGTAAATCTTCCGCAAAATTTTTCTCTCAAACACTCCAAGAGCCGCCTCATCGGATGTTGTCATTGTCCATGCTTCTGCGCCATATACCAGCACGGGCATGATGAGTGACTTATAGAGCGTGGTTTTCGTACGTCGAGAGAGGACTTTACTCCTGAATTGCCTACTCAGTCCAAAGTAGCACTTGTTGGCAAGAGTGATTCTGCGTTGGATTTCAATGCTGATACTATATTACCATATACATAAATGCATATGTCATTATATACGTATCGATTATTTACTTCAATAGTGTAATAATCCAAAAAATACAAATTTTGAGTTGAGTATGCAGAAATCACCGCTACCATTTCTTCTATGTTGTGTGTAACAAAATATGCATTCATTTTTTCTATGAGAGCATACGTGAATTAAAACCTTTAAAGCCGTTTGTTTTTGTATAAATATGTCCAACGCTTTATTATATTTCGTAGTTGTTATATAAAATTAAGAAAAATTATTGCACAGCAGTAAGTAATAAGTGTAAGTGAAAATTTAATTTAATTTGATATCGATGTTTTTTGGTTTTTGCAGTGTTTTTTGTAATCCGTTTTTTTTTCGGTACACCGAAAAGATCAGGTTTTTAATAAGGTTTTTTTAAACGGTTTAAAACCTGAATAAAAAACCTTGATTAATCAAAAAACCAATTTTTTGGAAGCGGTGCCCATCCCCACCTCACACCCTGTGTGACCGTGAGCTTGTGAAAAATTGTAGCAGAGAAGAGACATAAAATGTATCAATATGTATCACTTTTCAAAGTATCAATATGGAATAAAATCAATAATTTTTATAAAATAAACATTTTCCAAAAAAGGTACAACTGGGTATTAGTATAATAAAAACAGCAAAATGTCGTATCCTACTAATATTATAAATGTGAAAGTTTGTATGTTTGGATGTTTGGGAAACCATCACGCTGAAACAACAGAACGGACTTGCAGGGAATTTTGTACACAGATAGCTTGTGGCCCAGAGTGGATAATAGGCTACTTTCTTTACGAGTTACCACCTGTTAAAAAAGAATTTAAAATGCGGAAACAACTGAAGGGATTTGCAGGAAATTTTGCACACAGACAGCATATGATCTACGTTGGAGAATAGGCTACTTTTTTTTTAAAGAGTTGCCACCTGTTAAAAAAGTTTAATTATATTAATACGCGAAAACGACTGAGCTGACCTTCATTGGAAAATAGGCTACTTTTTGAGAGTTGCCATCTGCTAAAAAAGTTTACTTAAATTAATACGCGGAAACGTCTGAACGGATTTGCATGAAATTTTGCACGCAGATAGTTTATGACCTAGATTGGAAAATAGGCTACTTTTTTAAGAGTTTCCACCTTTTTGAAAATGAAATATTGCACACGGATGGTTTATGATCTGGATTGAAAAAGTGGCTACTTCCTTAACCGGTTTCCTGATCAGAACGAAGTTTGCCACACTTACTACGGATTTCACAAGGATGGCCTTAGATTGAAAGTAATTCCAATAACTCAAGGCCTCTCCCATACAAATTGGAATTTTCATAATACATACATATCTCTTTGGAATTATTTGTGGTAGAAAACTGGAATTTGGTATGGAGATATGTATGCGAAATCAAATTCATACTCACAGAGAAAAATGGACGTATTTGGAAAAGGGGCGTAGCACCTCCCTTACTGACAAAGTTTCATATTGCATATCTCTTCAAATATTTGGGGTAAAGTACTCAAGCTTGGTATGGAAATATATATGTATGTATGTATGTGAAACTAATCCCATACTCATGGAGAAAAATTGGAGTTATTGCACTAGATGGTGTGGCAACTCCAATGCAAATTGATTTTTCTATGCTGCATGTCTCTGGATGTGTTTATTGCCCGTACAAACTGACTTTTTCTTGCCACATATCTCTGGAAGTGTTTGTGGAAGAATACTGGAACTTGGTATGGATTTGTGTATACAAAATTTATAAATTGCTTATGGAAAAAAGTGAGTTATTAAAAAAGGAGGCATGTCGCCTCCCATACATACAAAAACTTTCTTAATACATATCAAAGCACTGCAAATATACCAGCAGAAATACTCTTCACATGTGTACATGAGTAAATGGAACATATATTTTAGAGTACTTAAAAAGATAGGAACAAAAAAAGAGAACATCGTAAATTTGAGGAACTAAGCAATGTTACTCAACAGCGCTCTGCTACATAAAACACTGTTCCGCTTTTCCAGAGTACTTGAGTATGTTGATTGCATTCAGTAGTATTCTAAAACTTCATAGGAAGTATAGGAATACTTATGAAGTTTTATCTTTTAAAATGTTAGCATTCAACATAATGTTAAGACAAGACATACATTTTCCTTTTATTCCAATATACATATACTTAAAATATTGTTTTACATTTCTCGCCGGACGCTTCAATGTTTGCGAAAAAGTTCGAATCTTTCATACATATACATGATTTATGTACATACATATTATGTAAATTTTTTAAATAACCAAAAATGTGTGTCCATTTTCCCGCGACCTGTCTTTATGACCAGTTTTTATTGTCAAATTGATATTTTCATTTCCCAATACCAGGCGCTCATACATGTGAAGTAACAAATTTTCTATTTCTAAGCAGAAAATTGTTTGTATAAATGTTTAAATTTCCTTTCTACTTTGTGAATTTCCAAAGGCTTCTGCAAACGAATTAAAAACTTGTACAAACAAATTTATGCATAGGGAACCCTGCAAACCATTTTTACAGAGTATTCTGAATTGTAGAGAAATTTTAAAGAATTCGTAAAGATCTCCTCCGAGTTTTTGCCGAATTTTCTAAAATAAAATAAACTGTGCACACTTCGATTGTTTTACGAAATAGCGAAACAAAATCGTAAAGATTCCATTATTTTCTTTCCGATTTTTTGCCGAATTTTCTAAGATGAAATGTACTGTGCACACTTCGATTCTTTTACGAAATTTCGGGAGAAAATCAATAATGTAATTATAATAATGTCACAATCGACATTGAAAATATTAAAAAATTCTGACGCACCAAAAAAAAAATATATCTTTTTGTGATTTTGTGCTATAAACGCGTTTATTTATAAAAAACCGAAATTTAAAATAATAAAAATAAGCCAAAAGGGTAAGTTTAATATTGCGATTAATGCTGCTATTTCATCATTAACTAAAATACCACAGTATATAGTGTATGTTTATAAGCACTTTAATTTTACAGAAATTAATAACAAGCTAGATGAAGTATTAAAAGAAAACAACCGACTGCGACTTCATGACAGAAGAGTTCGTAGGTCTAAGACACAAAGTAGAAATTTCCCTGCAGGAAAATAAAAAACAGAGAACAACGCTATTACCACAACTACCATTGACCACGAAGGATGCAATATTTGATTTTGAGCGGAGCTTGAAATCAAGTGATGACATGCGGAAGGAGCTAGTAAGTTCATATACATATAGCTAAAAATTAAATGTATGTAAGTATAAGTCAATCTAAATTATTTACAGTTCGACAAGTTCCTGTGCCATTCAAATACAGATATGGCAAAGTTCATATCCGGAAATTTAAAAGCTGTCTTTGGAGACGACAGCCTAGTTACGCAGCTCTCATTGACAAACTTGAAGGGCAACACGTCCGTTAAGGACTTTACGATTATTCAAGTTTTAAAAGGTCTGATATTTAAGGAAAATCATATGTAACACTGTAGGATTACTAAAATTTTTAATACTTACCTTTTGAACGCTTAAAATTTATATTTATCACTTTATTTTACATTTACTTACCTTAAACCTTGAAAACTATTGTGAATTCTTTTGTAGCTAACATTAAGCTGCCTCATAGGCAAACGAGCAGTTTGTAATTATTTGCTCGCTATCCTCGCAAACAGCCGGATCGTAATTGAAATCCCTCTCTCATACATTTCATATAGTATATAAACCGAATAAACGTTAGCGATTAATTTCCAAAAATTTCCGTGTTTAATTTCTTTCAGAAGGTTGGCAAAATTTTCTTTAAGAAATCTATTCTAACTTTTCTTCAGAATGCTGGAAAAATATTCTCAGAGACAACTTTTAGAATTTTCCTTTAGAAATTGAACAAAATATATTTAAAGAAATCCTTTAGAATTTTCATTCAGAAATTTAACAAAATATTCCTAAAGAAATCTTTTAGAATTTTAGTTAAAAAATCCTACAGATATTTCTTTACGAGTTCGTGTCAACGATTCATACGATTTTCTTTGAAAATTCGTAAAGAAATCATTACAGAATTCGAAAAACATTTCCGAGTTTCTTTAAAATTTCGTTAAGGTTTCGGGAACTTTGGTTTGCAGGGAAAGCTTGCTACTTCATATGTATTTGCGCCTGGTATTGGGAAATGAAAGTATCGTATTGTACAAATAACAAGTAAGAAAGTCTAAGTTCGGGCAGAGCCGAACATTAAATACCCGGCGCAAGAATTAAATACATGTTTTTCCCCTTTCCGAAAGCTACCCCTACATAGAAAGCCGGGGTGTATCAATTTTGAGTAAATTAGCGTCTTTAAATTTCGAAATATTGCAGTTTCAAGCATTTCTGAAATTTATCGTTATATGAAAAGCGGCCGTAATTTTAGTCCGATTTCAATAATTTTCAACGTTTTGCTTTTATGTGGCAAGAACAATAAAAATACCGAGTTTGGTACAAATTGATAGAACGGTTACCGATATACATATATGTGGTCATAAGTGGGCGGTGCCACGCCCATTTTCCAAAATTTAACCATAAACATATTTCTTGGTAAAGAATTGTTGCGAGCATCAATTTTGAATAAGTTAGCTTTAATATTTACTGATTTATCGAAGATTTCGTATTTCTCTAAATTACCCTTATATGGAATGTGGGCGTGGTTATTGTCGGATTTTAAAAATTTTGGTATGCTGTACCAAGGCGAACAACTGTGCGAAGTTTGGAATAAATCGGTGCAGCGGTTGCCAAGATATACACATATAACTATAAGTGGGCGTGGCTACGCCCATTTTTCAAAAATTTATAATATTCTTATTTTTCGTCTAAAAGTTATTGTAAATATCAATTTTGAGTGATTAATCTTCAGTAGTTACTAAAATATCGCAGTTTTCGTGTTTCTGAAAATTACCGTTATATGGGAGGTATGCGTGGTTATTGTCCGATTTTGCCCATTTTCAATACCATCCGTCCTACGCCTGAAAGAAGTACACGTACCAAGTTTCGTTAAGATATCTTAATTTTTACTCGAGTTATCGTGTGCACAGACGGACGGACAGACGGACGGACGGACGGACGGACAGACAGTCACCGCTTAATCGATTTCTCTTTTCATCCTGATCATTTATGTATACATTTGTCTATATCTATCTCGATTCGTTTTGCCTGTTACAAACAACCGTTATGTGAACAAAGTTATAATACCCTTGTGCACAAGTGCGCTCGGGTATAAAAATTGGTTCTCTGTATAAAATGAGTCCACTTTCTTTATAAAAATATGCTATTGGCTAAATATTCGGAGTGCCCTACATTGTTTCTCCATGTTTGCTATTTAACATAAGTGTCAACTCTAACATTAACATTATGTAGCATTAAACGAAAACTTCCAAACATACTCAAAAAATACTTGTGAAGGAACATATTTTTTGTGGAAGATTAACAGCATGGTACTGCTGATTTATGTTCCTCTTTATTTCGGAACATAATTTGTTTGAGTACTTTTTTTAGGTATACAGCGCTCAACATCTTCACTTCGCTTACTTCCATACCCTCTTTGTAGTTTACATATTTGAAAAAAAACTTCACAGTGAAGCAAACTGAATTCCGATTCAGACCTTTATATGGATATTTTCTAGAAGAAAAACCGGCTAAAAAGTCGTTTATGATAGCCGTTTACGATCCGTTTTCGAGTACTTTTTCGCTTGAAATTGTCGAGCGCCTGCGAACAGTCCTAAACGGATCGAAAAAGCATTCATATGTGAATATTATATATTATAAAATATTGTTAGTCTAAGAGCCGGTGGTTGACCGTTTTTTATCAAATATAATTTATAAACAAATATGCCTATGATAACTTGCCTATCGAAAAGTGCTCATAGCTATTTTTAATTTAATTAATTTTAATCAATAATCTTTCATCACCTTCACTCTTGTGATAACCGAATGAGTTTTATCTCAATTGATAGTTTTTAACACACAGAATATGCCTAGGTAGGCTTGCCTACTTATTTCTGTGCATGGCTACTTGGCAAGTTGATGTGAACAGGTAAGTCAATATAGGTAACTACAGCGATCTGTTAACCAATCCAAATTGATATCATAGGTAAGATATTTTAATTACAAAACCAAT